ATTGTTCACTTATTTATCATGGAATTTCTTCGCTTGAGCTCTTTTAATAATATCTGCAAGATACTTTGCTATTTTGTTTAGCTATATTTTTAGGATGCTTGTGTGATGTTACTCTGAGTGCATATCCACACCGGGCAGGCTGATGCTGAGCTACATGGTCAGGTCGGTTCGACTGTGCGATATTTCGGAACTGAGTCTAGTTCCTTCGATATCAATGTAAACTAATATGATATTTGCTGTGTTGGTATAATGTAACATGGCATCATATCATCAAATAAGCATCTTATTCACCTGAGTACATTATACCAACACAGCAAATATCATATCATTAGATTACATTTATATTGAAGGAACTAGACTCAGTTCCGAAATATCGCACAGTCGAACCGACCTGACAGCGTAGCTCACTTGGCAAAGCATTGGGCTGGTGTTCCAAAGGTCGTAGGTTCGATTCTCACTGTGGCCAGGCATATTTTTCAAGCCTGCCCAGTGTGGATATGCACTCAGAGTAACATCACATAAGCATCTTATCCACCTGAGTACATTATACCAACACAGCAAATATCATGTTAAATTACATTGATATTGAAGGAACTAGACTCAGTTCCAAAACATCGCACAGTCGAACCGACCTGACTGTGTAGCTCAGTTGGCAGAGCATTGGGCTGGTGTTCCAAAGGTTGTAGGGTTCGATTCTCACTGTGGCCAGGCATATTTTTTAAGCCTGCCCGGTGTGGATATGCACACTCAGAGTAACATCATACAAGCATCTTATTCACCTGAGTACATTATCACAGCAAATATCATATTTTTAGGAGTTTATCTTTTGAAAACTGCATGTGCAACGAAGTGTCTCCAATGTGTTTACTCTCGTCTGACAAGCAACCAAAGATGAAATACTTTATTTCATCTTTAATAGCAATCTAAAATGCCTCAATATTAGATTCATTTTATTTCAGTTTCAGGCTTTTTGTTAGGCTTCTGTGTTTCTAAAAATCATGAAAATTAAATTTTGTTTTTCGTGACTCGTGAAATCTAAAAATAATCTTCGTGATTTTGTGGCAATAAGACCCCCATATTATATTTTTATACAATTGTTCTTGTAAAGCCAGTAAAGGAGTTATTTGGAACTAAAAAAAGAAACTGTTTTTTAGTTTTTTTAGGTTTAGATGTAGGTAATGAGAACCATATTGGTGTCCTAGTAATAATTTTATGCCACAATAGTCCCTAAATGTTAGATGAAAAAATGTAGTGTGAAATATGATAGGGTAATGGCCTTGTGTTGTTGGCACAATCACAATGTATGCCTGTGAAAAAATGTTGTATTTGAAAAACCTGAGGAAAAAAGATAAAAAACCACTTGTATTTGTATAAATGTGAACCTAAGAAATATAAGTAAGTTATAGACTTGTGGAACATAAAATTGGAGATGTATGTGTGATCAGTGTGAAATTGTAAGAGTAAAATATATCCTGTTGTGTAAAAAAATGATCAGACCCAAAGAGTATGATCGTGCTGTACTAAAAAGCTTGTATAGAGGCATGTAAAATATATAAAGCGAGATGAGAAAGTCATGTGTGTAAATTTCAGAATCCCTGTATGCGGCGTTTCGTCCTTCATGGACTTGTCAGCAGGGATTGGGGTTGGCACATGTGAGAGAGAAAGAATTAGAAGCCGATATGGATCACAAGGAGAAAATAAAAACATAGCACTATATGTGTATAACTATTGTATAGTATAAAATGTCTTACCAAATTCGTTGTTGCATTTAGTTAAACCAACACATTGGGCCATGGTTGTGTAAATAGTTTACTGCCGTGTAGCACAGGAAAAATCTTCGTGAGATGAGTATAAACCTTGTAAAGAGCTTGTAGAGCTTTTCTTTCGTTACGTAAGTAAGCAGAAAGGGCCGAGAAATTGTAATGCAGCTGTATAAATTGCGTGTTAGGACATGCGCAGTTGGTGAGATGTACATTTGGGTGTTGTGTGGATAGTAGCGGTTCTGAGGGAGCATTTTGGGGAACTGTGAACTTACCCGGGTCTGTTTACTTCATGTAATACTTCATGTAGTGTTTGTGAAATTAGCACTATATATTAAATATTTTACGTTGAAATTGTTATATATCGTGTTGGTGCGTAAAGGTGCAGTGAAAGGGGAATTATGGAGTAATATGACGTTAAAAGGTAAAGTATTTGTGGATTTGGTTTTAAAAATAGGTTGCCATTGGGGAGAGGGGGGGAAGGGTTGTATGGGGTAAATGAGCTGTGATCAAGGGTAATCAAGGGATCAGGGGTAAATGAGCTGTGATCAAGGGCCTGAATGTTATAATTGGATGTGTGTTAGTAGCTTGATGTAAAACAGTCCTGTGTAACTGAATGTTTATACTGATTCACGTAGTATGCACATATAGTTACCTCTACCCGGCTAAGCTAGAGACACTGACCCACAGATCATCAAAGAGACAAAATATGTAAAATTTGTTTAATAAAGATGTAATAGAATCTAAGTAGACTAAGTAATATGTACAAAAGAGTGAAATATGTACATGTAGACTCAGGTGCGTTAATGACTGGGTCAGGTTTCACAGTGAGCATTAATTCATGAAAAATAAAAGAAAAATTATTTACAACGATTTTAAGATAAATTGACAAGGTTTTGGGCGTTAATGCTACTCAACATAATTTTAGAATTTTTTTAACCGACCTAAAATTTTTAAAAACGTGTCACGTGACCAGTTATTGGTCTAAAAATAGCAACAAAAACATGGAACTTTTTCAACCGCTTTGCAGGGAATGATTTAGCGTGTTCTCACTGAAACATTCAATTACAAATAGATTGCCAAGGAACTCTTCTAACATATTCAAACTTGTATCCGTGAAAATGTTGTGTTATTGTTGCGTAAAATGGATCCAAAGTCAAAACAAGCGTTTCTACTTGCATATTTTCGATAATTAAAGCTACTTCTAATCAAAATCTTTTCGGTTTACGACTTTTCTCAAGAACTTGGACATATTTTGTAGATAATTAGCGCCTAAGCCTTTAATGGTTGATAATAAAATCCTTTCCTGCAAAGCCATTGAAGTTTATGATTCAGCCGAGTAAATAAATCGTAAAAACCGCCATTTTTGTCGAGTGAGCCCTGATTCTACACACAGCGGTTTCCCGCATAGCCATGGCAACAAAGAACGCTCAAAAAGGAGATCATAATAACTCGAAGAGCAATTAGAGCATAAAGACATGTTTCCATACACATTTTGCTTTGCGCAAGGTTAAAACTGGCAATTGTAATACACAAAATATATACATATCATATCATTGTTTTCATATACAAGTGAATGTCGAACGCACAGAACCATTCAGGTGACCAAATTATCTGCACAACTTCGCATTTAATAACCACAACATGCTGATGCTATAATTTATAATTATAATACTACAAATCTAAAAGGCTACTATAAATTTCGCAGACAATA